ACTTCTTCTGGCACCCCATAATGAGAATGATGGTATAGTTGAAGTAGTCCCAGAGGTTCCTTACACTATCTTCATATTTTTTATTCCTTTTTCTTTTTGTTCCTTTGATTAGGTGTTTTTTGCTTCCTCATATTCCAAATCATTTATTCGATTCTTGACTTCCTGCACTCTACTGTTGAATCCCTGTAAATTATTATTTATTTCAGGTAGTATACGCTTAATTTCTGACTGGTCCTTTTTCATGTCTTTGAAATTCTCACTAAGATCCTTGAAAGTCTCACTAAGTCCCTTGAAGCTCTCATTAAGGTCCTTGAGCAATTCTGTTTTGAACTCTCTAGTAGTTTGCTTGCTTCCATTTCATTTAGTTCTTTTTCTGGAGATTTCTTCTGTTCTTTTATTTGTGACATGTTTCTTTGTCTCTGCATTTTGGCTGCTTCTGTGTTTGTTTCTATATATTAGGTAGAGCTGCTATGTCTCCTGGAATTAGTAGGATGGCCTTGTGCCCTGAAGGGCCCTTCAGCCTCCCCAGTCACCTGACCTGGGCACTCTAGATCAGCGGTTACCAACCTTTCAGACCTCATGGACCACCAGTGGTCCGCAGACCACCAGTTGGCAACTGCTGCTCCAAAGGTTTTCTTAAACTAGTGATTGCCAATCTTTTGGTCCTCATGGACCACCAGTGGTCTGCAGACTACTGGTTGGCGACCACTGCTCTAGATGCATCCCTGTGTGGACTGTGTGCACAGGATTGTTGTAGTTGAGCCTTGATTACTGTTGGACTGTTGGTGTCATTGGGAGGAATTGACTTCCAGGCCAATTGGCTGTGAGGACCAGCTGCAACTACAGTGGAAGAGCTTCTATCAGGAGATACCCCTATGGAGCTTCAGTGGGGCTTTGGTGCTTACTGAATGTGTTGCTTATGGATGTGAAAAGTTGTAACCTGGTATAGTCTGAAGCTGTCCATGGAGTGCACTAGCTCTGGGGCCTCCCTGGAGGTGCACTGTAGCCACTGCATGGTGCCACCGGGCAGAAGCTACAGAGTGATTTGCAAATGACTGCTACTTGTTTGGGGCTTAGAAGTGCCCAGGCAAGGCCAAGCTGTCTTAGGCTTCTATTGATAGGTATGGGCAACACTGATGCCAGCTGCTGCTTGTTTGAGATATTTTAGCAAAGTCTGAAGCCTGAGCAAGGACAGGCCAGTCATATAGAAAAGCCACCGTATACAGCTTGGGTGGGGCTGTAAATTGGATGGGGGCAGGGTCTCAGGGAATCACCAGGGCAGGGTGAACAATGTGAGCCAGGCTGATGTAAATTCCAATATGGCTGCCAGGCAGCTCTGCAACAGGCAGAGGTCTCAGCACAGGAACAGTGTCCCCTGCAAGCATCCCTGTCTGGGAGGAAGCCACCTCCAAGTGCTTGCTCTGATGTTAGACAATCCAGTTCCTCCCTGTATGTCCCTGGATCCACCTGAACTGTTTCCCCAGTGCTGAAGCTCAGAGGGAGTGAGTCCATGTAAGTTCATGTTCCCACCCTTTAAGAGGAACTGCCTGGGTCTCCAGCAGCCTCTGTGTAACTCAGCCACAATCCCCACTGGTTTTTACAGCCCGAAGTTACAGGGACTTCTCTTCCCAGCTTTGGAAACTTGGGCTGGGGTCTGGTGTGGGGATGGGACCCATCGCTCTTCACAGGAGGCCTCCACAGCTGAGATATCCCTCATGATTGAAAAAAACCATACATGTGTGTTGATCCAGCCTGTTCCATGCCTCTGTCTCTCCTACCAGTCTCCATGTGCTTTCTTTTTTACTACTCTAGTTGTAGGACTTCCATTCAGTCAGATTTCAGGCAGTTCTGAATGATGGCTATTCTGTGTTTTCATTGTAATTCTGATGTGGTTATGGGAGGCAGTGAGTACCTGGTATACCTATGCTGCCATCTTGGTTCTTCACCACCAAGTTTAGATGCTCCTTGCCACATTTTATAAAGCTTTGTTTTTTTAATTTATGAGAATTTGTAAACACACACAAAAGTGAAGGATATCACAAACCCTCATAAGGCTATAGCACAGTGTCAACATCAATACTTCACTATCACGTGGTGGCTTTCACCTGAGTCCAAGGAGGTGACATAGAGCCCCTTTCACTCCAAGACTGATGGCCCAGGTAAGATCAGGTTGACTGTCAGTTAAACTCAGCCTACACACGTTAAGCAACAGCTTTAGGCAGACCCCTGGGCTAGCCACCCTGGAGAATCACTCAGGTTCCCAAACCTCTGAAGCCAGACAACAGGTGAGGAACTACAATAGGAGAGCAGAGTCAGCAGGGGAAAAGGGAAGGTATTTGGGAAGGCTTTTGTGGGAAAGATGGGATTGGAACTGAACTTCGAAGGAAGTGGGAGTGAAGAAGGCCTTCCTGGCGGAGGAGGGGGACATGAGGAAGGGTGGGAAGTCAACTGCTGGGCCATTTTGGAGACTGCCTCCTATTTGAATGTGCTGGGGTAGGTGAGGCAGCAGGAAATCCGTGTGGAGGCCAGTGGAAGCTTTGAATGCCAGGAGGAGGAGGTTCCTTGCTGTTGGGGAGCAGTGCCCAGAACAGGGCAGGATAATAATAATCTAAAGAAAACAGGAGGTCCACGGTTGGGGCGGGAAGGTAGCAGAGGTGACCCAAGGTCTGGGGTAAAGAACCCTTCTCCTGGGTTGTTGCTGCCACCAAGGAAAGAGCAGAGACGGCTGGAGGATTAAAATAGAGGTTGGCCCTGGCACCGGGAACTCCCTACAAACCGTCATTAAGGAAACAGGAGACCAGGGATCCAGAGAAGCAGCAGAAGCACCTGGTCTGACTCTAAGAAACATCAGTTGTTTACTAAGCACTTGGTGTCTGGAAAGCCTGCCTTTCCAAATACCACGTCTTCCTCATCTACTCCATCCTGCCACAGGCAGCTACTGTGTGGGGCGCAGGGGCAGGGGCCAGACCATGTGCCTGGAAACCCAGCTCTATTCCCTCCTCCCCTCCCCCAGCAGCCCTCCTGCCTGTCCCCCCTGCTGCCTGCGGCCAGCTGCAGCTCCCTGTTTGTTTGCGGAGGTTTGCATACTCAGATTGAGTTGCCTCTTTTCCAGTCAGTTCAGCAGTGTCCCGAAATTCACCCCCAGTGTAACTTCTGCCTCGGCTCCTCCTCTTCTTGGAACTGCCTTTTGTTTGGCAGCCTTGGTTCTATGGGGGTGTGTGATGATAATAATCCTCCAGCTTATATAACTCCCTTCATCTTGCAAGCACTTGGCAGACAGTCCCGCATGAAGTTTGGGGCCAGTGTCAGGCCTGGTGGCTATAGCGGCAGATAGGAAACCCCAGCCTGAGGCTCGGGGGCCAGGGGGCCAGGAGGGAGGGCAGTGAGGGTCAGAGGCCAGGCCTGCCTGGCTCCTGTTGCTGGGAGGTCAGGGGAGATAAGAACAATGACTCTGGCCCTCAGGAGGAAGGCGGTCCCGCTGCCACCTTCGCTGCCACCTTCGCTCTGCTGCTCTGCAGGCTGCCAGTGCCCAGAGCGTGTCCTCTGGAGAAGATTTTGAAGGCAGCCCTTGTAAGTATGATGCTCTGCTTTTTCTTTAAAAACGAAGGAAGCAGACTTTCCTTGCTGTCTAGTGCATTTCATGTTATTTATTCACTGCAGTCTTTTCCCTCATTCATACTCTTAGGTGATGGAAAGTGTGTTTTGGGCCAAAGTTCTCCACCCAATGGGGTCCCTTCTAAAAATCACAGGAGGAGTATGAGGTTCCTGTGATAATGCACTTAACCAAATAGCCCAGGAGAGGTGCTGGAATTGGCCCCTTTCTCCGAGTCCTGGGGGTGTCTGACTGTTGTACTCACGTCTCAGCCTAGAGAGGAGCCTTGACTGTTCACCTGGCTGGTTAGAGACAACGACAAACAGTGCAACAACTTTGATCCTCAGTCTCCCTGCTTTCGTGCTCACGATTTCAGACAAATATAACTGGTGGAAATTTCTTTTTACACTATGAAATAGATGCCACTTTTCCTTGTAGGCTTGAAACTTGCACCGGCTTGTATAAACTCTATAAAACGCTGTAACACTAGTGGACTTGTGAATAGTTAAGTTTTTCACTGTGTAGCCGAAGGGTCTGGATACTAAAAGAACGTGGATTGGCAAAACCCATAGTTTTGAACTATGTCTCTGCAAAGAATGCTGAATTAACAGTAATTTTCTCAGGGATGATGCTCATTGCTTTGAGAAACTGCCTTTCAACAAAAGGGGGACTTAAAAACTCTTGAATAATACTGAGAAAGGTACAATCTCTACACACTTAGAAAGTATGATTTGACTGAACCAGTTTGGCTCAGTGGATAGAGCATCGGCCTGCGGACTGAAGGGTCCCAGGTTCGATTCGGGCAAGGGCATGTACCTTGGTTGCGGGCGCATCCCTAGTGGGGGGGCATGCAGGAGGCAGCTGATGGATCTTTCTCTGTCATCAATGTTTCTAACTCTCTATCCTTCTCCCTTCCTCTCTGTGAAAAACCAATAAAATATATTTAAAAAAAGAAAGTATGATTTGCTAATTGAATAAGCCAAGAAAGTAAAGTTCTGTTTTGGGTAGTTGTACAATTTGCCTTTATAAAACCACGATTATAACTTGGTGCACTATAAGATACAGAAAATTACTATCTTTATTTCAGGTAAGGAATATAATTTGATAATAATGTAGAAACGCAAGACTTCTCACTTTTAGTAATGTAAGTGCTATGATTAATGCACTGAGCTTTTTCTCTTTAGATAAACAGATGTGCAAACTACATATAATGTGTATGTGTGTGTGTGTGTTAAAATTATCCTGAACTCTTCCATTTGCTGAATTTGTCTAAGCTCAGTATTTTACCTAATAGTATAATATCCAAAATGGGCCAAGTGGGAAGATTTCCTGTCAAGTTTCAGAATGTAGTAGTTATTTTTTTCATTATTTACCCAATAAACATGGGAAACCTAATAATATTATGTCTGTGTTTAAGAGTCTGTTTAGATGACATTTCCACTTAGAATTCTCTGGGGCTTCCAAGAAATTCTAAGGCATAATTAAAATTGAAAGTGAGCCTGGGTTCTAGTTGTTTTTACCCCTAAATTTAAAAGTGATCTGTCAACACTAAATTCTATACTCTAGCTAATTTAATTACCAAGATCAGCCACATAATCTCAACGTTAGCCTTACAGGCATATTTGGTCATAGTAGAAAGAACACAAACTCTGATGGGATCCGATCTGAGGCTTGTTTTTGCCATCATCTGGTTATATGACCAGCATCAAGATTTTTAAGATTTTCAGCCTCAAGTTTCACATCTGTTAAATAAGATGAAGACTATTGACCCCAACGAGAGGATTGTTGAAAGGAATAAAAGAAAGTAATATGTACAAAAATCCAGCACAGTGTCTGAAAATAGCAGCACTTCAGTCAACTTTAGGGCTTTATCACTAACTCTATTTTTTCATCTTCGATTCAATTCCTTCACTTATTGAGCATCTACTATGTACTACATGTTGTGCCGAGCACTGGTAATTTGAAGGTGAATAAGATTAATATCCTTCCCTGGAAGAGGAGACAGGGAATGTTCTTAACAGTGTAATACCTGCAAAAATAGAAGAGAATTTAAGATTAAGTGACAGAGATGAGGCCAGAGTGATGATCTCTCCTAGTGAAAGTCAGGAACTTCCACAAAGATGATGTTGTTTGTGTGCCTTTTAAAGGATCAGCAA